AATCAAAGGATCAATCCATGTTGTAAACCATCTGCCCCCTATACTATTTAAATTACCCTGTAGTGGAGAGCTGGTCTTTCACAAGTTAACTCCACTAAAGATCCCATTGAGGCTCAGGAACTAGTAATAAAATCCCAAATAACAATAAATACAGCAAGCAAGGTAATCCACGAATATCCCCATACAGATCCCATAGCCTGGCATTGTCCCCAGCCACCCGGTTCAGCCATACTAACGGGTTGTGATCTGTGAGCAATGAAAAGGGCTGTCCATACAAGTACGGTTGCAACTTCTTTAGGGCCCACACAACAGCCAGGCATTCTTTTTTGATGGCGGCGTAGCTTACTTCTCTGGGTAACAACTTGTGACTGATGTAAGCCACGGGATGTTCTCTGCCATCGGCCCCGACTTGGCTCAGCACTGCCCCCAATCCAAACACAGAAGCATCTGTGTGAAGAAGAAAACGTTTAGTTTGATTGGGAACTACCAGGTGCTGGGCATTTATCAGTGCATTTTTCAGGTGTTGGAATGCCTGCTCACACTTCGGGGTCCAGGTTACTTGGCGGGCAGGTTTTTACGGGTAAGGTCAGTAAGGGGTTTGGCCAGGGTGCTATAATTGGGTACAAACTTTCTATAGTACACTGCCATCCCTAGAAAGGCCATTGTCCTAGGGGTGGGCCATTGGGCGACGGCCTCTATTTTGGCTGGTTCCAGTTTCTGCTTCCCACAGCCCACTCGATGTCCCAGGTATTGTATATCGGCCATCCCTATACTACATTTGGCCGGTTTCAACGTCAAACCGGCCTCTCTAGAACCACTCCTATATGGGCCAGGTGTTCCTGCCAGGTATTGCTGAAAATGGCAATATCGTCCAGTCTAGAAGTCGGTCCACCATCCGCTGGAAGGTAGCCGGAGCATTTTTCATCCCAAACGGCATGACTTTAAAGTGGTACAGGCCGAATGGGGTGACAATGGCTGACTTAGGGATGGCGTCCGGGGCCAAGGGAATCTGCCTATACCCCTTACACAGATCAATAGTGGTGAGGTATTGGCCTCTGGCCATCCGGTCTAGCAGTTCGTCTATACGGGGCATAGGATAGGCGTCTGACACTGTCTTTTCGTTTAATCTCCGGTAGTCCACGCAGAAGCGGGTTGTACAGTCACGTTTTGGTACGAGGACTACTGGAGAGGCACAGGGGCTGTCTGAGGGTTCAATCACCCCCAGTTGGAGCAAATGGGGAAAACCCGGTCGACTCCTGCGGCACCTCCCGGTAAGCGAAGAGGAGATGGGGCAGGAATCGCTCCCAGTCTTGGTGGGTCTCAGCAAAGGTTTGGAGCATTTGTTTTAATGTACCATTGAACCGTTCGCAGAGCCCATTGGTCTGGGGATGGTAGGGGGCACTGATAATAGGCTTAACGTCACAGAAATTTCCAGAGTTGCTGGGTGACCTCTGCGGTGAATTGAGTACCCTGATCCGAGATGATCTCCCTGGGTAACCCCATCCGGGAGAAAATCTGCATCAGGGCCTCGGCCACGGTTTCTGCATGGATATTTGTCAGGGCCACCGCCTCTGGGTATCGGGTGGGGTTATCCACAACCATTAAAATATATTTCTTGCCAGAAGGGCTAGGTTTCCGAAGGGGACCTATGATATCTACTGCTATTCTATGAAATGGTTCCTCAATTATAGGTAGCGGATGCAACTTTGCCTTCCGCTGGTGCCCCCTTTTCCCTACCCTCTGGCACGTATCGCAGGTGCTGCAATACTTACGGACTTCCTGGCTGATTCCTGGCCAAAAGAAACTCTGGATCAGTCGGTACCGGGTACGACTGACCCCCAAATGCCCGGATAGTGGAATATCATGAGCTATCCGGAGCAATTCGGCTCGGTACCTCTGTGGTACTACTAGCTGCCATGTAACAATCGGGTCTGACCCAGCTACCTGCTTGTCTGACTCTCTGTACAACAACTGCCTATCCCATACAAATCTTTCCCCCTCCGCCCCTGGTTGGTCAGAGGTGACTTGATCTCTATATACCTGTAGGGTAGGGTCAGTGATCATCTTTGCCGCAAATTTGTTAGGTGGGGCCCAGGGGAGACAATCTAGGCAAGGGGAAGGCTCTCTTACCTGAACCTCCGGCAGTGTGTTGTAGTCCTGGATGCGGTCCTGTTGCCTGGTGACCACTGGGTGTGCTTCCTCAGTGGTTGTGGTTTGGGGCTCAAAAGCAGACGTGAGCTTTCCCAGATCGTTTCCCAGTACCACCTCTGCGGGAAACTGTGGCATCAACCCCACCTCTACATTTCCAGACCCTGCTCCCCAATGCAAATGTACTCGTGCTATATTCAGCTGGTATACGGCTCCCCCGGCAACCCTGACGGCTACAGTCCTGCTGGTCTTGGCCTTGTCAGAGACCAAGTGGCTTTTGACCAGGCTTATGGTGGCTCCTGAGTCTCAGAGTCCCTGCACAGCTTTTCCCTCCAGGTAGACGGTTTGCCTGTGATGTTGGCGATTATCTGCATTTTCTTGCAGCGGGTTGGCTTCATGCAATACCTCCCACTGTTCTATGGTAGTGACGGGAACTGCAGAGCCATAGGCAGCTGGTGTCTCCTCCTGGTAGTGATGTGCTGCTGCTCTCGGTGGGGGTGGTGGGGGTGGACCTGGCCGGATCCAGGTGGATCGGTCTCGAATCTGTGGACAGTGCTGCTTGTAGTGTCCCCACCTCTGGCACTGGTGACACTGCACCGAGCTAGGGTGGCGGAACCTCGGTTGGGCAGCGGTTGGTGGGGGTGGTAGTTGTCGGGGCAGTGCTGTGAGGTAGCTTGTCCCTTCTAAGGGTTTTACTGCGGTCTTCGGAACTACCGTTTTTTGTTGCCTGCCAGCATCCAGGTAGTCATCTGCTTTCCTAGCTGCCTCCGTGAGGGATGTAGGGTTGCGGTCCCTTACCCATTCCTGGACATCTGTTGATACCCCATCATAAAATTGTTCCATCAGCAACATTTGTAATATGTCCTCCATGGACCATGCTTTGCTAGCCTGTACCCATCCGAGGGCCGTCCGTTGTAGTCTACAAGCCCACTCTGCATGTTAATCTTTCTCTTCTTTCTTTAGTTCCCTGAACCTCCTTCGATATGGCTCTGGTGTGATGCCATACCAAGCCAATATAATTTCCTTTACCCGACTGTAGTCACGGATTTCTTCGTCAGGTACAGTACGGTAAGCCTCTGCTGCTCTCCTGGTTAATTGCCCAGCTAAAATGGGAACCCAATCTTCTGCGCTGATTTTATGCATGGCACACAGTCTTTCAAAATCCTGGAGGAAGGCATCTATGTCTTCCTCTGCCTCTATATACATTTTAAATGCTTGGTAAGGTATTTTTGGCTTACCCTCTTGTACCATTGTTACTGCTGAGCTGCGTTCTGGGGTTGACGTTATCCTTTGCCTCAGTACAAACTCCTGGACTTCTGTCATTGTCCTGGAGACGATCTCTGCCGGTGGATTCTACCAATAAAAAGACAACCTAAATTGTAGCTGCCTTTGAAACTCCATTTGTTCTTGTCCTTCTGCCGAATCACTACGTTCGAAACCGAACCACCATCTGTTCGGTATTCCGCCATGACTTCAGCGATAAGAACGGCTTTAGTTTTATTGCTGGCTGGAATACCCCTTGCTTCCAGGAGATCTTTTAGCGTGGAGCCTTTTAGTGTAGAATAGTCAATCTCCATCCGTACTCCATTGGTACTTGTTCCTCTGTGAGTCTGGATCCCGGTGCTGTCAACCAATGTAGCGGAGAGCTGGTCTTTCACAGGTTAACTCCACTAAAGATCCCAGTGAGGCTCAGGAACAAGTAATAAAATCCCATATAACAATAAGTACAGCAAGCAAGGTAATCCACGAATATCCCTATACAGATCCGAATGACTGGACGGCACACAGCATCAGGAGCAGAACTGAACTTTTAATCACTCAACCTTCTTTTAAAGCTTTCTCCCATGCAAGGGAGGGATTCACAATAATTATTACATTAGCCAATAGTGTAACAGTTACCTCCCACACATCTCCTCCCCTCAGTGTGACACATAATCCAATTAAACATACTGTAGTTTTCCCCGAGTTCTGGATGTCCCCCAAAACAAGCAGCTAGAATAATATTTTGGGTACCCCCCTGTAGCCCAGATCTGGGTGTCGAACATATTAAAAATTTACCCAGTTCGGACCAGGGGTTCGGGAGTTAGGTGGAAGGTGAAATTTGACCGACCACACACGAGGTGGTATACGAAAAAGGCTCCATGTGTTTTGGCCCTGCGGTCGGTCTCCATTCAGTAGTTAAAACATACTGTAATCCTTGCCATCCACAGATAATCTTCTATTCATCTGTATTCCCTTGTTCGGTACATTAATTTTACCGAACGAGGGGCTGACTGGCACTTTTGGCCATTTGGACTTTGGCAATTTGGAATTTCGGCAATTCAGGACTTCGGAACATCTGTAGGGCTCCCTCTAACACTTAATTTTCCCTCCCTCTCTTGTATTGCCACTTTTCAGAAATCCAAAGCATTTTGGCACTTCTTAAATTCAGCACTTTGACAATTCAGGTTCAGTTCGGCACTTCCAAAATTTGGCACTTACTTCGTTCGTCCACCCGGGGCATGGGGTAGGCGTCTGTCACGGTCCTGTCATCGATAATCGACACAGAATCGGGTTGTTCCGTCCTTTTTGGGGACTAGGACAACTGGGGAGGCCCAGGGGCTGTCGGACGGCTCTATGACTCCCAGTCTTAGCATCTCCTGAATCTCCTTTCTCATTTCCTCCTTTACAGCTTCAGGGATTCTATAGGGAGTCTGTCTAAGAGGGGTCTGTCCTGGTGTCTCCACATAATGTGTCGCTAAGGGTGTGTAACCTGGCTCCTGAGAGAATGTCAATCCTTTCTCAGCTAGCAATTGTTGGAGTTGTTCCCTTTCTGTGGGGTTTAACCGCTCCCCTAGCTGCACTGTGATAAGCAGAGTTTTTGGCTCGGAGTCAGCTAACAAATCTGGGATGGGAAGACTGTCAGGGTCTTCAGTGGCCGGGATACATATGGCCGCTATATCTTCGGGCCTTTCTTGGTATTCTTTTAACAAATTGACATGAAACGACTTCTGGACCCTTTCATCTTGGCTACTGGCAATTACATAGGTGGTGTCACATACCTGGGCCACTAACTTGTAAGGGCCTTGCCAGGAGGTCTGCAGCTTGTTTCCCTTGACAGGTCTAAGTACCAGAACTTTCTGCCCTACTTGGAACGTTCTCAATCGGGCGCCCCGATCGTACCAGTGTTTCTGACGTCCCTGGGCTGCCTGGAGATGTTCTCGGGCCATTCTGGCTAGGTGCCCCATGCGGTCCCGCATCTCCAGCACATAAGGTACGATAGGAACGCCCTCATGCTCTATCTCTCCCTCCCAGTGCTCTCGGATGAGGTCGAGGGGGCCTCGTACTCGCCGTCCATAGAGCAGCTCGAAGGGAGAGAACCCTGTGGATTCCTGGGGCACCTCTCGATATGCGAACAAGAGGTGCGGCAAGAATCGCTCCCAGTCTCTGTATTCCGCTGTAAAGGTCCTTAGCAATTGCTTTAGGGTACCATTAAAGCACTCACAGAGACCGTTAGTCTGGGGGTGGTACGGGGAGCTGAGCAGGGTCTTGACACCACAGACCTTCCATAACTGCTGGGTTAGATCTGCGGTGAACTGGGTCCCTCGGTCAGATAGGATTTCATGAGGGAATCCCACTCTGGTAAATATCCCGACTAGTGCACTGGCGACAGTGTCAGCCTGGATATTCGTCAGAGCGACAGCCTCTGGGTAGCGGGTAGCATAGTCCACTACTGTAAGAATATATTTCTTACCCGAGGGACTGGGGTTAGGTAGGGGTCCCACTAGGTCGACTGCCACCCGGCTAAACGGTTCCTCGATCACAGGCATGGGTGACAGCCGAGCTTTAGGGTGGTCCCCTCTCTTCCCCACTCGTTGGCATGTGTCACAAGTATTGCAGTAATGCCACACATCTTTCGAGATCCCAGGCCAGAAAAAGGTCTGTGTGATCCTATAGGCAGTGCGGTTACCCCCTAAGTGCCCTGCCAACGGAATGTCATGTCCTATTCGGAGAAGTTCCAACCGGTACTTTCTGGGTACCACTAGTTGGCACTTCTGCGAAGGGATACAGCCTCTCCTCCTACCTTGGGTCAACCTGTATAATCTGTCACCCTCCCATAGAAACTGCTCCCGCTCATCCCCCCCACTGTCGGCTAATTCCCGATATTTTTGGAGGGTGGGGTCCTGTCTAGTTTCCTTCCCAAACTCCTCTGGGGTGTCCCAAGCTATGGGTCTTTCTACCGTGTTAGGGCTGAGTGTCTGTTTGTGGCTTACCTGGGTCTCCCGTTCTGCTGGAGGATCGTCCTCGATACGGGTCTGTGAGCGGGTGGTCACGGGACAAGCAGCAGCAGTCGTGGGTAGATTACCTGAAGCCAGAGGGCCAATGTCGTTGCCCAACACGACTTCAGCAGGTAAATTGTCCATGATTCCGACTGTGGTCTTTCCCGACCCGACTCCCCAATCCAAGTGTACCCGGGCAGTGGGTAAGCGAAAAACAGCCCCCCCTGCGACACGGACAGCAACAGTACGGGTAGATACATGCTCCGGTTTCACGAGATGTTTCTGCACCAAAGTGATGGTAGCGCCAGTGTCCCTTAGGCCTTGTGCTACCTGTCCATTTACACGCACCTCCTGGCGGTGATGCTGGCGGTTATCTGGGGATGCAGCTTGTATGGGGTTTGCCTCGTACAGGATGCCCAAACACTCCTCAGGCCTCCCTTTGGTTTTCAGGCAGTGAGTACGTGATGAAGGGGTCTCTGTGTTATTGGTAGGGCACCTCCAGTTGTTATTGGCTGATCCCAAGGGGCAATAACGAGCAATATGCCCCGTGCTGCCGCAGCGATGGCACGTAATTTTGTGACAATCCCGGGGTTGGTGGTTAGACACCTGAGGCCGTGGAGGTCCTGGGGGTACTGGGACCCAAAATTCTGTGCGTGCAGCGGGCATTGAGGTGCGTGGCTCTGCTCTAGGGGTTGGTCGTGTGGACCCTTGGCTCACCTTTCTTGACTCTGCGTATTCACCCGCTAGCCGCGCTGCCTCGATTAAGTTAGAAGGGCGACGATCTCTCACCCAATCCTGTATGTCTGCCGCCAGAATGTTCCATTAGGAATAGCTGTAGTACTTCCTCTCCTGTGTTGGCATTGCACCCTCGCACCCAATGTGATGCTACCCTTTGCATCTTGTTTGCCCATTCCATGTGGGAGTCTGCAGCCTTCTTTTTAGACTCCCTGAAGTGACGGCGATACGTTTCCGGGGTGACGGCATATCTGGTGAGCAGTGCACCCTTCACCCGGCGATACTGCGCAATATCTTCCTCAGTAAGCCCCCGAAAAGCCTCATTTGCTTTTCCTGATAGCTTTCCAGCCAAAATAGTGACCCATTGGTCTAGTGGTATTTGGTGTAGTGAGCACTGCCTCTCGAAGTCAGCCAGATATCCGTCAATCTCTTCCTCACTTTGCACAAACGCTTTGAACGCAGTGAAGGGTATTTTCTGCCCTGTAGCAGCGGGTGGGGGAGTATGAACTGTATGTGCAACGGGTTGTCTAGCTCTTGCCAGTTCAAGTTCGTGCCCCCTCCTATTTTGTATCTCCGTTCTCGCTTCCCGGAACAGCTGATCTATTAGCTCCACGGATGTTGCTGGGTACATGGATAATCTCCGCTGAACAAGATTTGTAATTTCCTCCTCCTCGCTGACAGGGGTAGGTTGGTCCACGACCTCCATGGATCGATCCATCTCGTCCAGCTCCAGTAGGTCAGCTATCAGCTCTCTCCGTGGTCGGTTGCTGGCACTCCTTCCTCTGGTTTCCTATAGATCCTTTAGTGTGGGTCTTTTCAGTTTAGCGTACTGGGATTCCATTCAGCACTTGCGTTGGGGATGAAAAGGACCATCCTGCCGCTGCCACCAATGTAATGGCTACCCAGCTGGTGAGGGGTACCTGCCGTTGGAGACGTCCTTTTCTAGGCAAGCTGCTGTGAAGTAATGGAATTCTTATTCCCATCCACGATATCCAATTGTATAATCCAGGAGTGCTGTAAAATGAGACAGAGTAACGGTACCATAAATCCCCTCCAAGAACGAGACGAGGCTACGTTTTGAAGGGTCAAGTAGAACTGATGTTTATTGACAGGGGGTCTCCTTTTATGCAATCTTGCCCTCTGAAAGGCTACACCCACATAATTACTACAACAGCCAATTACATACATGGTTCAACCCCCACGTCTCCTCCCCTCAGATAACATGTAACACAATTAAAACAGACACAATTTTAACTACATTCTGGATGTACCCCAAAACCAGGGGGTACACCTTTAAGTCCAGCACCGCTTAATAGCTCTCACTCAGGGGAACAATATATCCAAATTTCAGGGGTTCGGGAGTTATGGGTCTTTGAAGTTTTGACCGACCGCACAGGTTTTCCAGCCGAAAAGAGTTCCATAAGTTTTGGTCTTGCGGTTGGTCTCCGTTCGTGCATAAAAACCCCACGAACCCCTTGCCATCCTCAGTAATCCTGGTGTTCGCCTGAATCCCCATGACTGCTTAAACAAAACTACCGAACGGCCAGTCGTTCGGTAGTTCCAGCACGAACTTACGAGCTCCTGGAGGTCTCAGCGGTGTTCGCCTGTTTGCGTATCCGTTTTTAGTTCCATGCGTTCACAGGCAAACACCGCCGTTCGTGCGTAAGATGGCCGCGAACACGTGTAAAGTCCCGAAATGGCGGCCATCTAACCTGAGCACAAAGGGATTCGTCTGAACCATGCGAACGGTTCCACAATCACTGGGAGGTAAAATAGCACTTAATTGTTCCCCTGGGTGGTCTGATGTTCGTTATTTTGGGTTGAATGTTATAGTAGCAATATTCACACGAACACCAGCCATTCAGTTCTGTTTAACCCCTCCAGCAGCATTGTTGATTAAGTCCAGGCATAATCATAGTTCTGTTACACCCAACATGCTTAAAATCATATAAATAAGCCACAAAAGTTTGGGGATTCTGTTTTGTGGGTTGATGAAACAAAACTGGAACTTTTTGGCCCAATGGATAAGCAGTATGTCTGAGGTAAGAAGAATGAAGCATATGCTGAAAAGAGCACTCTGCTACAGTTAAGCATGGCTGTGGCTTGGTGATGCTCCTGGGCTGCTCTGGCCTACATCCTCTGGCACTTGAAACCTGCAGCATGTGGAAGGCAAGATGGATTCATTTAAGTATAAGGAAATCCTAGGAGAAAACATCATGCCATCTTTGAGGCAGCTGAAACTTGAGCGTCTTTGGAATTTCCAACAAGACAATGATCCCAAGCCTACCTCAAATTCCACCGAGGCTTGGTTACGGAAGAAGTCCTAGAAACTTCTATAGTGGACATCACAGTCACCTGACTTGAACTCCATAGAAAATCTCTAGTGGGATTTGAAGAAGTGGTTGCAGCACGCAAACCCAAGAATATTAGTGAACTAAAGGCCATTGCTCCTCAGATTAGATATGTGCAAATCGTTTCGGTCCGAATATGAATTTGGACGAATTTCAGGCAATTCGGATATTCGGGTACTTCCGAATGTCCGAATTGCCGAAGTTGCCGAAGTGTCAAAGTGCCGAAGCACAGTATTGCCTAAGTACTAATATACTTACCCAGTGAAAGAAGAATGTTACATTCTATACAATTTTAAATAAAAAGTATACAAACATAGCCAGGATTCAGCTGTAAGCATTTGCAACACTTACAACAATCAAGCAACATACATTCATATAAAATGTAAGTTACTTAGCCAGTCAATGTAATGACAGGAATGAATAAGTAGATAACTCCCTAATACCCACGGCATTAGGGAGCTATCTACTAAAAGGCTGAAAGACCTAAATTGGACTTTCAGCCAAATTTACTAATACTAAGTAATACCGCGGGTAGGGGCATGTCTATTAAACAGTGAGCAGCCTGTGAGGGTGGGAGGGACCTATTCAGACTATAGTGCCAGGAAAACGAGTTTGTTTTGCTGGCACTATAGTGGTCCTTTAAAGCATTTGTTGTGTTTATCTATTTCAATTGCTTTTGTTTGATTTATTAATTGCAAACAGCGAAAAGTCTGTAGATTTTGACAATAAACCTGATTTGAAATAAAGACTCCAGAGTATATTCACTAAATTCAGAATTTTCTTTAATGCAGCATATACAATTTCTGTGATGAAATGGTCCCCTACTATTCTCATTGCTGCAGTAAGAATTAGGGATGTGCATGGCCAAAAAACTTGGTTCGGTTCGGCATTCCGAAATTCGGGACTTCGGGTAAGTGTATGGTTATGGTTAGTGTTAGGAGTAGGGTTAGGGTTGGGGTATGGTTAGGATTAGGGTTGGGTTAGGAGTAGGGTTGGATTAGGAGTAGGGTTAGGAGTAGGTTTAGGGTTGTGTTAGGAGTAGGGTTGGGTTAGGGGTACCCTAACCCTACTCCTAACCCAATCCCTACCCCTACCCCTAACCATACCCTAACCCTACTCCTAGCCCAACCCTAACCCTACTCTATCCCAACCCTACCCTTAACCCTACTCCTAACCCTACCCTACCCCTAACCCCACTCCTAACCCTACCCTAACGCTACCCCTTCCCTGTTTTGCCACTTTTTTTCAGAAGTCCAAAGCTCTTCGGCATTTCCGAAATTCGTCACTTCGGCAATTCGGTTTGTTTCAGACTTCCGAAATTCGGCACTTTGGCAATTCGGCCATTCGGGAGCATCCAAATGTCAGAAGTTCATCCGAATTTCAATTCGGACTGAACCAAATTGTTCATGCCAGGTAAAAAATATTTGTTAATAGATCCAGTTGGACAACAGCTAAACTGTAACCAAGATTCTACTCTAGCGCCACTGAGATAAGAGAAGGATTTGACAGGAGTATTATGGTTCGTATAATCTTATGGGGTTTGAGGATGGCATCAGGGTCACTTGGCATACATGGGGTTTGGCTTATGGGTGCAATACCACTGGCCTTTAATAGGGGAATTGGATGAAATGATAGAAGGGGATTTTTTTTCCCTGTGTTTGGTTGCAATTTAGTTTTTGCTGCCAAACTACAATCATATTGAAGTTTTTTTTTTTTTACTAGCTCTCCAAATAGAAGGGAAAATATTGGTATTATGCATGCATAACAGGTTACACAGACATGTAATAAGGTCTGAACTATAACAGTTTTCCCTATTTATTTTATGCAGATTTGGCAAGATATTTTATGGACCAAATTCATTGATATTATTTATGGCTTTGACAAGTAAGCTTGGTGCTTTGAATTTAGAGCAGGCGAATTCGCAGAATGGTTAGAAAATAATATTTAACCAAAAAGAATTGTGGATGCCAGGAATCGCCTTTAGGAACTGTTGGAAGGAGCCAATACAATCACAGTGTTTCAAAATATCGGACATAAACACATACCTGCACTGATCAAGACACCAGATCATAGCTAAAGGTTATGCTTTTCAGCTCAGAATGGACAAACTAGATTTGTTAGTTTAATAAATGCTGCCATCGAAATCTATATTTCTGTGCCTAACTGACTTTATCCTTTACCTATATATAGACAACAATGTAAAATTAGTCCAAGAAGTATAACAGTATGTGCTATGTGCTTATCATAATACCTCTACCTCAATAATCTACCTTTAAAAAAAATTATATATACAAAAATACTGTTGTATAATGTTTTTAGTATTGCGCTGTGAGGTGAGCGAGCACCATCCTCTCTAAATTAGTAACCCCTGGCTTCTCCTTGCCCACCAACCTCTATGATTGGCTATGTTGATCTAAATTTTGATCTAAATTTTACGAATCTGGTTTTCAGTTCACCCAAATTACTGTTTATTGAATAACCTCTTCAGGGCCATGTTTAGACATATGCCTTGTTGTTGTACAAATCCTGAAATGTCATTAATCCTCAAGGGGATAAACCCTAAAATCTAGTATAAAAGATGTAGGAGGGGCTGCTGGCAAAAGCAATACTTTAATTTGGTTTCTGTGGCTGATGAAAGTGACAGGCACTCTTGTGACCCAAGTTAGCACAAGTTAGCCTCTCCCCTCTCACTCTTACAGGGACAAGGCAGGAGGGCCCTTGTCTATAGCTTCTACCCACAACATGACAACGAGAACAGGTGCACTTCTTATGATGGTGCTATTGCCCCAACAACTCTCTCCACCAACCCCACCTTTCTTGCCTTTAGGAGCAACCACATGTTCAGTCTAAAACGAGCAACCATTCAAAAAATGACTTGCTGAGGTGTCAGTGGATCAAGTGGAGCTGCTCGCTATCAACAGGTGCTGTTTGCCTGCAGTGCATAAAAAGTGATGGGAGCCCGGGGGTTGGTGCTGCTGAGAGCTGAGACACAGGCTGCTGGGGTGGACTGCAGGAGTATGAAGTGTGTTGGAAGTGGCTTAGGGCAACCAGGAGACTGTGGCAGCAGTGGTTTTGTCTCCGATGCAGAGGATCTTGAGAGTGTCAGTGACAGTTCAGACAAGTCTCTGGGTGGTGGCGATGAGGGAGGTTACTGTAGCCCAGCTGAAGAAAGCAGGGGTAAAAGAAAAAGGAAGAGCAGGCTGTCTGGAGTCAGTAAGCAGAGACAAGCTGCGAATGCTCGGGAGAGAGACCGGACACATAGTGTGAACACAGCTTTCACAGCCCTCAGGACTCTTATTCCCACAGAGCCTGCAGACCGCAAACTGTCCAAAATAGAAACTCTGCGTCTGGCTTCTAGTTACATTTCCCATCTAGCCAACATTCTGCTGCTGGGGGAGGACTGCTTGGATGGGCAGCCATGCCTACATTATAGAGCTTCAGTGGCAAGTGCTGCTCCCAGGCCCATCTGTACCTTCTGTCTCAGCAATCAGAGAAAACAGGTAAGAAAGACACACGTGCTGCTTACTAACAACCACACACCAGGCACAACTGGGTTCTATTAACTCACCGAATTGGAGCAAAGTACAATTTCTATGCCAAAAATAGCTCATCTCCAACTCAGTTTTAGTCATATTGCAATTTGGATTGTAATTCATTACAGTTTGTTGTCAAGTGAATAATTCTATAAATGGCAAATGTTGCCCCTTTATTCGGCTTAATTCTCTTCACTTCAGCTGAAAAACCCTTCAGAGGTTCATCTTATTCGCTATCATCAGCCTAACTGAAACTGCATTGAGCCAAATGGGTTACTGTTATTTTCAAATGGATTTTATTGCAGCCATGATCATTATTTTAAAAAAACTCATCAAAATTGCAACAGGATGACAGTCAAATTCCGCCGCAATAGAAACTAAAATAGCTGGAGTTAAGGTAAGAGTAGGGCTTGGGAGGGATATACAGTGGGATATTGTTATATAGTAAAAAGGGTTTGGGGGCAGTATTATGGTGGTCTACGAGTTTGGGGACTTTAGTTCAAAATCCTTGGTTTGTATCAGTGGAATAGTATTAACTAAAGAAACACATTTGGTTGCAGTTCTGTTACAGTTTATGAATATACAAATGAGACAAGTTATGTGGATATTAGATGAGTAAACACAACTAAACGGAAATACAAAATCTGTTGAAATTTGGTTGAAATCAAGTTAGGTGTCTGATGCCAACAGCTCATCCTGCTGGCCTCCTACTATTATAGTAGACTTTAGGGTTTATCTTCTTCAGAATAAATTACATGTCAGCACTGTCACATCAACAAGGAATTAGCCTAAAAATGGTCCAGATGGAGCGATTCACTAAGCAGTAGACCATGGTGAATTGTTAACCAAATTTTCCAAATTGTAGTCAAAATAGCCAATCTGTAAATAAAAAGACTGTTGAAAAAAATGTAATCTATTTTGCCCCACAGTTATAGTTGTAATCTTGCTTACTTTTGCTATATTTTAGCTATAATACTCCAGTGTAAATACATGAAACTCTATATAAAGCACACTTGACTAATAATTTGAGACATTTAGGCACAGAACTTAGTTAAAAATATATTATTATAGCAATACTATAATGGTGCTGCTCTAGTTAGAGTGCTTACAGCACAAGTGGGTATAGAAATGTACCTGTACACAATTTTGCTGACAGGAGATGCTGTGGAATGTGACTCCAACCATGCTCAACTCTGCTTTACCAGGCCACAAATGATGCGAATCCTAAAACTAAAGCTCAATTATTCTACTTGAAGTAGGTCTTTTTATAGCACCATTACAGTGTCGCTCAATCTATGTTTAACTTTCCAAAAGCTGTTTTAATGACACTATTGATTAAAGGTTATTTTATAACATGACCAACTTGGCATACCGTCAGTAAGGAATGGCTTAATGGCAGCTCTTGCAGGTTTTCAGGGTCAAATAATCACAAACAAAATAGTAAAATACATAAAGATGGCAAGCAGACCGACAGAATGGTACTTTCATCACATACAGTATAACAGAATGATAACCTGATTACATGACAGAATGCTAGTTTGGCATAACTCTAATCCTTACATAGTGCCATTCTACCAAAATAGCATTTTATAATTTCCTATGCTATCCTTTTGTAGGAAATGTCAGCAGTGTGTACATGTAGATATCACTCTTGTTTATATAAGCATTGGAGTTACATACTAGTTACATGCTACTACATACACAGGCTGATATACCTTAGAGAAATACATGCAATTTACATTTTTATTTTTTTTATTGCAAATGGATTCTTACACTTTGTGCCATATTGTAACCAGTTAATGGAATGAATAATGATTCCAAGCGATGGGGGTTAAAGGACCACTATAGGCACCCAGACCACTTCAGCTCAATGAAGTGGTCTGGGTGCCAGGTCCATCTAGGATTAACCTTGCCTGCTGTAAACATGTTTACATATGCGTTAATCCAGCCTCTAGTGGCTGTCTCATTGACAGCCGCTAGAGGCGCTTCTGCGCTTCTCACTGTGCCGCGCATGCGCATTCAGCCGATGATGACCGAAGGAGGAGGAGAGTCCCCAGCGCCTAGGGAGTCCGGCGCTGGAGAAAGGTGAGTGTTTAACCCCCTTCCTCCCTCTTCAGCCCGGCGGGAGTGGGACCGAGTTTGTTTTCCTGGCACTATAGTGGTCCTTTAATCAAACATACCGGGACCAACAGTGCCATGTTCCAAGTCACGCTAATATTGATAAGACCAAAGTCCCCCTTCTGAGCCCTATGGATCTAATACAAAAAAACAGATTTCCCTGTTACTCCCAAGAAAAAAAAAACACTTAAAGAGAACCATGTTAACAACACTTAAAGTTTAAAGTCGAGAAAGAATCTAAAAATGTCAGTGTCCATATTTATTCCATTGGTATACAGATAAAATGTATAAATATATTTGTGTGCTGATTGCATAATGTAAATGTGTTGTTGCCTAGTACAGTCATAATCGGCAACACTTCGGCAAGCAGGAGTGTGAATATTATCCGCTGCCTGGGTTGCCTTCATCTTCACTGTGTATAGTTGGTTTTTAAGCCCAACCAGAATGCATCTCCAGGCAAATATTGACATCACAACTGTGATATATTTATTAAAACCAAAAGGCAAGGAAGACAATAGGAAGGATATAGGTAGAGAAAAGATTATTTTAAAGCTGAGGGTGAAGGCAGATAAGTGTTGGAGACCTACTGTCCACATCATTCTTTCAAACAGGGAGCAGAACAGCCCCTGGTTTCTTTTTGAGCTACGGGCTTGAAACCTTTAGCCCACCATTATTCTTACTTTCCAACCCATAGGCCTTAGAGTGGTGGAAATAGAAGTGCCCCATCTTTAGGACCCTGCCCAATGAGGAAGAAGGGGAATATGTGTTAAAATCTTCCTGGTAAACTGGGTCTATGATAAACATTTTCCCATCTCGCTCATTTGTTTACATATGAATTTAGTCATCTAAATCCATGTCCCTTCCTCTACTCAGCGATCCATGGGTTAAATATACTTGCTCAGAATAGCACGGTTTGATTCTCCCCCTCTATTTCCAATCCCTTCTTATCTTTGCCATTGATCTACTGATACACACTGACCACTAGGTTTACAGTGATTGACAGCCTCTTTAAAGTATCTCATGAGGGGCATGTCAATGAATTGCTAGTATCTGCATCAAAAATGGTATCTTGCACCAGACCTTTCAAAGCAGCACTCAGTACATCCAATCATTACAATTAAACAAACACCACAAGCAGCAAAACCACTGCAGTATTCTGTAGTGGTTTTGGTGCCAATAGCTCCCAGGAGCATCCCCCAAAGCATTTAAAAGAGCCAACTTAAAAAAGATCTAATATGTATCCAAAAGTTATCTTCTGTCTTATGACTATTGTTACTGTTATTGCTGAAGGAATCTTACTTTCTACAACGTTTTGGGCAGCAATTTATTTTTAATCCATGCAGTTTTCTACAAAGTAGCCATCATCTTTAGCTTAGACTGGTAAAACTGAAACAACCACAAAATCAGACCATAAAACAGATTTGCATAGAATTCCCAATGTAAAATATACAGTAGAGTTTTTGCCAGTTCTGATTTATGGCAAAAACAAACCGGTCATGTGCTGAGGAGGAATTGTGGTGGCAATATTATATTGACTTATCTAACATTTGTACAGTAACAGAACAGAGCCTGCTCTCTGTTTGCACTACACACATCAGGAAGACATACTGGGCTGTAGGCCAGCATATGACATAATATGTTTACAAAAACCCACAGCTTTTAATATCAACCCCACAAAATGATTTCAGTATAGGGAATTTACACATTAAAAAAACAAAGTCACACAACAAATCTGTCTCCCCAAAAACAAAACATTTTGGAACATTAACCCTGTAATGAAATAAAAGATTCTAATCATGGATACCGACACTTCAGTATTATTTAAATATTACCTCTCAGCTATTTCCCTCCATTTACCTCATCCATCAGTGGTCAAACCGTTTGTTAGCTTTTTAGCTGATCCTTGACTTGCAGTCCCTTTTATTTCCTCACTTCTATCCAAAAACTACCCTCAACCTTATATTCTTTTCAAGACTTTTAAAACCCTTTCACTTTTTCCTCCAAATCTCCTATAGTCACCATTTCTTTCATTCCTTCACCTCTTTTTGGTCTGTTTATCACTATTCCCTTATCCTTGATTTTCTAAACTTTTTCATTCTCTCTTCCTGTTCATATTTTTTCATTTCACTCTATTAGTAAATCTATCCCTGCTCCACCAGCCTGTTTTTTTTGTTTTGTTTTTTTCTCTTCCCTAACCTTTTTGCCTATACGCTCTACTTTCTTTTCCATCTAGCCTATCGAACTTCCTCTTACTGCCCTCTCTCTTTTTGACATACTCTCATTTCTTTTCAACTTTTGTCTCTCATTCCCCCCTTATCTGTTTTTCAATGTCTTCCTTTGTTTCTGTCATGGAGACCCTCTTATGCCTGCCATATTGTACTTCTGCCTATGTCTATCTGCTTTCCAGGTCCTTATCGTTCTTTCCCTTTGACTTTACACATTATTTCTGTCCCGACACTTACTGGGTAAGTGAGTGGTTTAGATGAAGATCCATTTTTACCCCGCACAGGATCACTCTTGCCAGATGTTATTAGAGGTTTGATTTTATATGTCATATATTTCTGTGTTGTCCTGATTTACCTGTGTGTTGATACATGTTCGCGATTGGAGTAGGTGAGACTAAATAGTTTAAAGTTTACAATGATGCTGCAACTCATGGTACGAGACTCTTACTTCCCCATGGAATCATGGCTTCCATCCTTCTAGAATGTGCAGCTTTAATGGACCATTGCAGATCTAGTATATTGATTAGGTGCCACTAACGCTGGTAGAAGTAACCGTACAAGGCACCTTAAGACAACTAACCCTAGGGTACATTGACTGGCCTATTTCCCCTATTCATACCCGCCGACATTTATGCACGTTTAGGGGGAGATTTAGTTTTCTTCCATGCAGTAACATCTATAATGACTTTATCCATTTTACTTTTATTGCCTGAGGTCTTTTCTTTGTAAAGCCTAGCCAAGGTTTGCTTACAGGAACAAGTGCTGTATTTCAGGTCACACACCAAGTGAGATCTTACAGAACTCCTGAATGCCAGTCTAGCATACATTAAAGGAGGACTTGTATGGTGGTCATATTGGCAGGCAGTGGTAAAATAAGATAATCTGTCATAGGCAGCTTCCTTCCGGCAATATGTGTTTATCTTTCTGCCTTTCTTTCTCTCCATCTCTTTTTGTTTTCACTCTACCTTTTTCTCTGCCCTTTTATTTCAGTGTTCAGAGTTTTTTTCGTGCACAGAATTTGACTGGTAGCATTATACTATAATGTAATTTTTGAGTTGACTATACTAAAGCAGTTCATTTTATGATCTAGGTGAACGGTAGATCTATTAATGTTCTTGTGGGCAAGGTCATAACTAAACAATGGTTTCATTTAATAAATTGTGGGCATATTTCAATCAGCCTTGTCGAAAATCCAGTGCCTAGTCATCATTTGATCCCTCCTAAAAGATTTTTACTTAAACAATTGTGTGTATATATATATATATATATATATATATATATATATTCAGTCTAATTCAATATTCACTTGTTATGGGAGGTTCTGTTGGATGGCCATATGACATTCCTAATATTGTTAAATGAAGAATATTATTGATTGTTTGATGCAGTTGAAGATTTTGGTGGAAATTTTGTAATTTGTGTTTTTTACTTCCTCTTTCAGCACAGAGAAGGGGAGAAGCACTTGCCTATTTAAGGTGTATACAGATATTTTGTCAGAGGAGCAGCGTGTCCAATTCTTGCACTGAATATAGAACAGTTCTAAATATAATCACTCTGCACTCTTTTGTTTACATTGAACTCATCGAAGGAAGACATGGAGCTTGCATACTTTATTGCTGAATGGAAAGAAACATCAACGGAAAACAATAAATAAATAAGTAAATATTATATATATATATATATATATATATATATATCTCACAAGACTAATATGCACTTTTGTTTTACATTGGACAAGTTTATTAAGGACACCATGCATCTAACTGGGATGGGAAATTTGCACCTGGCGTTGCTGCTATTTTTTGCGCAAGAAATGTTAAACCCGAGCATGATACGGACGGTGGTTAACCCAACGACACATGATGAAACCTGACCTTGGACACGAATTGGTTCCATCAGTATGTGTTGTCACAACACACTTTCACCTGTGCTTTTCACCACTAACCCTTCCTTCAATCCCACCAGATTTACTGTCACATAGCACAAGCCATTTACAGCAGCGGCAAGCAGCTGTCCCTTTAAGGAATGTAGAGGGAGGGGGTGAACAGCAATGTTTGTGATCAGAGACATTGTATTCAGCACAGATTTTCAACAGAAATACATAGGAGGTTTACATGTCAGTTGTGTGTAAGAAAGGCATATATAAATTATTATAAACATTTGTAAACGGCACATATGGTTTTCACGAAAATTACTCTTCTTCTTAATTGTTTCATGCCCAGGCCATGACGGCCATATTTTATAGACTTCCATGGTGCTAGCTACCTCATTTTCATTGGCAGAGTATGGAGAGATGCTACCTTTCTCTGACTCACTGGTTATGGAATAAATATATGTTGTACACCCAGTGCTCCACGAACTAACACAAACTACAAACACCGAGCTCAGCTAACATTACTGCAAATGGTCAGACACCTCACACGATCAATTTGCTTTGCTGCATGGAGGTCTATAAAGGTGTTATTAGAATATTATGATGAGAGAGACCGTCACATATGCACTATATGAGCCCTTTACAGATGCAGCACAGAGTTCAATTCAGTTTGAAATATTTAGTTTAGAGGTGGTTTTGGCACAGAATAAAATATAAGTCTTTTGAACTACATTTATAGTTATAAAGTCTGTATCAGTCATTTTGTGAGTCAGCCAATGCTAGCTTAACTTGCTGAGGTTCATGAGGCACATAGAGCAAACAAGGATAAATGTTATTATACGAATGGTAGAGACCTGTACAGATTATTACAAAATTTTGATCTGACGTCTGCTTCTCATTTCTAAGAAATATATGTGAAGTATTTACAAGTGAATGATAAGCAGCGTACACTGTTGGACATTCTCAGATAGAAAACTGCTTCTTCCTAGAAGATTCCTAGCCTTTCTTACTCTGAATGTAAAAAAGTATACAAGGAATGATACAAAATATATCTGAATGTATGTATATATATATATATATATATATATATATTTATTTTTTGTCTTTAATGTCTGCTATGTACGTTTAAGAGCCCTCCTTTTTTAGTGAAAAAGGTTTAAAAACACAATTAAAATTATGTTTATTCCAGACAGACTCCTAACCACAGCCTAATCTTTGTACTGTAACATTATCAAGCTTTATGGTTTCTGGACAATAAATGGTTCTTATAGAGAAGCATTATGGACATATGGCCATACATGGTCATCACCACCATCCACCAATCCAGTCGCTATAAGGATCCACACCTAGAATCTGGTGCCTGCATATTATGCATGCTAACACTAGGTGTGAAATAGATTCAGCTATTCAAGTCTGAGCCTCTAGTGGCTGTCACTATATAACCATTTGCTACAGGGGAAGCAATATTCATTAAGATGAAGTGATTCTGGTGCTAAAATTAACCTTTTAATCTTAATTATTGAGTTAAAAACACACGTGTCAAAATGACTGTATTAGTAAAAATAACACTTTATGGTCAAAAATTACCTCAAAAACAAATATTACATACCTGGGAATACTCAGGGTCTTCACTTCAATCTTAGGATGAGAGGGCGGATTCTCAGGGATCTATATTGTTATGATACTTCAGACTCCTATTTGGTGTTTTTCTTTATCATCTATAGTTGATATCCATGTTTGCATATGGCTGACTAGATTAAAGCGTAAATGTAAAACCTTTGTGGCAACTCTTGTTTTCCTGGCACTAAAGCTTCTCCCATCATCGTGGCTCAGGTCTTTCCCTGGCCAACGTCAGACCTAATACGCGTGCACAGCAATGGCCGCACTCTCATTAGGATTTCCCCATAGGAAAGCATTACACAATGATTTCCTATGGGGTTTTGGGTGACCTGGACGTCCCTATGCATAGCGTGAGGACGTCTAGCGTCAGATAAGGCTCAAAAAGTCGCCTAACAGCCTGGAAGTCCCTCTAGTGGATGTCTTGTAGACATCCACTAGAGTTGGAGTTAACCCTAAAAGGTAATTATTGCATTTTGTAAAAAACTGCGATGATTACCTTTGCCGGGTTAAGGGACCTGGGACAGTGCACCCAGATCATGTCAATGAGCTGAAGTGGTCTGGGTGCCTATAGTGTCCCTTTAAATACTCCCAGGGATACTATTGATGTGTTTTAATGAAGAAGTTTACCATAAATATATATATATACACATACATACACACATACATACCAAATAAGTTGTGGTGCGGAAAAAGTGTGGATGAAAATCCCTTCCACCTGAAATAAGTGGATAGTAAATGCAATGTTAAACACAAATATATACACATACATATATACAAAATATTAAATAATATATATTATTATTAATAACATATAATAATATGACTCTGTTTTGGCTTTTTTGTTGTTGTTGTTATAATATGGGTTATTTAATCATTCATGCACAGTTTAAGCACTCTAAGGAAGATAACCACCACAGCTCATAGGCGCCATAACCACTTAAACGGCTCGAAGTTATGGTTATGGTGTTTGGAGTTTGCGGGCACTGGGTTCTGCCACACAGATAAATGTTTTAGTTAATGTTTAGCAGAAATGCTTGGTCCCCAGCCACTGCAGGGCAATGACAAAATGGCAGGGGTGAAGCTATGCTCCACGTGATAGCTGGCAGTAATTTGGGATGTATAAGTCTTGGAAAATATAAATCTGCCTTCACCATTACATAAGTGGAAGTTACGTTCCAGGCTGCCAGGGAATGACTATCTCTGCCAAATGGTGGATAAACTCACAGACTCCAGTCACCATAACCACTTCAAAACTTTGAAGTAGCTATGGTATCTACAGTGATCTTTTAAATGCATTTCTGCTAATGTGCACTAGAAAGGTCTGAAAAATAAAACAGAATTGTCTTGCCTACGATTATATGAACAAGTACAATACCTCCGCAAAGCTGACTTTTTCTATGTATTGTTTTTGAATCTGAAATTAATTTCACAATGCACCAACAAATGGTATCTATTTTTTTTAAGATGCATGCCATGTTATATCTGTCTAGAACCTGTAATATAACATTTTCTGCAGTGAAAATATATTGTTTACACATATAATTCTGGCAAGGATTTTAACCATACCTGCTGTTCCAATAGTATATAACAGTATGCTCTGCTGATTGAAGTGCACTGATACTCTCAGCATCTAAGTCCTGTCTGGTTTTTAATCAGTGATATTTAAGGTAGTAAAAAAAAAGAAAAAGTTATTTCTACAGTTTAGTATCACTTTAAATAAAAATAAACTTTCATAACTCTCAGGTCATATGATGCACCACGTTTTATATACCCTTGAATATATTTTTGCACATCACAATGAAAGTATTGATTATTTAACATATACTACTGTGTTTGGAATTTAAATCTTTGCACATATTTGGCATTATAATAGGTTATGTAAAGGGAGAACTTTTTGATATTGTTGGGGCAATGTGAAGGTACAGTTATTTTTATTTGTTTAGAAATTTCTAAAATGTAATTTTAACATAAAAGCATTATTATCGATCAATGTATAACTATTTTTGTTGCTGATACATATTGGGGAACATCTAACTGCACAAATCCTGTAAAGATGACAAAAATAATATATACACATACACTTTGCTAATACCTCATGTTTATGAATACAGAACTCTGATTGTTAATTTAACTGATAAAATTATGAAAGTTAATTTATTACCCAACTTAACTAAAGAAAAAAGTAAGTGTTTGATTAAAATTACTTTCTTACCCTAAAAACTTTGCATGATGTCAAGCAGATAAAAAAATAATAATGTGTCTTTTAAGGTTAATGCATGGACATATTAAAGATAAAACAATTACAAAATGTTTTTATAATTACTCAGCCAACATGAATATATTTTTGTACATATATCAATTATTGAATACTATGCTACAAATAAAACAGAAATTAAACCGGATTAAATATTTGTTATTGTATTTTTCATTTAACAGCTACACAACATTGTATCATGTACACTTTATCCATAAAGTATACTAGCCAGTAAATGACCAATGCTTCTTTTGTTTTTTCCATTTTTTCAAATGATTGGTTTATATGTATTAAAGTAATCATCTCATTAGGCAAGATGCAAGGGCTTACCAATTTGCTTTTGCTATACTTTGTTGCTAGGTGCCTACGCTCTGGTATTTTTCTCTTCTGTACAATAGCCACCATCCTTCCTTCTTATGAGAGCACCCCTACCTGGTTTTCTTTACCTAGCCATCTGGCTTTCTGCTTGGAAGCAAAAAAATATACATACTAAGAAGGTAGGTATATGGTACTTGCCATAACTGGGTTTAAACAAATTTCCATTGATTTCTGCAATGATTAGGCTAGATGCATGAACAGCACCTGTGCATGCATATCACACACAAAGGCCAGGTTTCTCAGAGAAATCAACAGATGAACATGCAGTGTACTCGGGATTGCTTCAACTGAAGTGGATGTAAGCTACCTGGTGTTGTATTCTATACATGCAATTTGCTTCTAAAGACATCTGAGTGGTATATCCCTACATACAACATCAGTGACAAAACAGAAGGAATGTCCTGTCAAGGTTCCAAAACTGTTATCTGTAGCTGTGGTAGTTATGGTGCCAATCCCTGGTTTTGAGTCAACCCTATTTTAAGGGGTTTGACCAAAACCAAAGGTCCCCGTGGCAACCCTGGCTGGACACCATTCACCATATAGTGTAACAATTTCAAACAAGGATGACATTACTACCGTAACCAGGACCAGGCCCGGACTGGCCATTGGGCATAGCGGGCAAATGCGGGCAAATCACAGGATCTCCCCTGTCAGCCCCTGCAGGGCCAGCGCTATCCGAGCGCCGGCCCCGCTGTGTGCCTCCGTGGGCCGGTGGCAGGGCCGGACTGGGAAAAAAATTAGGCCCGGGCATTTTTCAATACGAGCGGCCCCCCAAGAAGGGGGCGGGGCCAGAGAGGGTGTGTTTTGTCATCACTAAAGACAAGTACACCCCCTCTGAAAGTGAGCATGTTGGTACAATGCACAGAGCCCCGCTGAAGAGCTCTAGCATTTGAAAAAGGCCCTGTATTTGTTCTGCGCAGCGCAAGCAAATGTAATAACATGCTGTGTTTGCTTTTAAATTGTCTCTGGTGTCTCCACAAGTGGGATACCAGAGGACAAAAGGGCCAGGAAAGTGTATGGTTCATGTGTTTGGCGCATGCTTGTGGGATTGCCTGTATGTAGAGTGTGGTGTGGTATTGTGCCGGTTACCACAGCAACGCTCAGATCTCGCGAGAGTGAACTCTAACCCGCAGGCTAGAGTTCACTGTCACCACTGGACCACCAGGGAAGCATGACAGCATGGCCCCCCCCTCATGGCAACATGGCTCCCCCCCCCAGGCTAAAGGTAAGAAGGGGGGGGGCATAACCCAGACACACACACAGCACCCAGACACACACAGCACCCAGACACACACACACAGTACCCCCAGACGCACACAGCGCACCCCCAGACACACACAGCACCCCCAGACGCACACAACACCCTCAGACAGACAGCACCCTCACTCCCACACATATACAGCACATATATATTATATAAAATAACCCTCAGTGAGTTAACAGACAAATAAAATTAGAAACCCAGAATGTGACGGCAGATAAAAACACCCTCACACACAGCACTCCTCTTACACAAACACGCTGCGCACCTCACACATACAATACGTCCAAATATATTATATATATATATACACACACATACACTACAGCACCCCTCACACTGCACCACTACACACATTACGCTCCAGATACACGCTAGATCCCTTACCCTATATGCACTCTTAATCCCCTAAACACACACACACAATCTTCTATACACACTCTGGGTCCTTTACACACTAGATCTCTTACACACACACTGCACCACCTACACACACACTACATTCCTTGTAAGCAAACACATACAACATTCCCTGAGCGGCGGGTGGGGGCCATAAATACTAAAAAGGGGGGGGAACACCTAAGGTCCTCCCCCCTGGCCCCCACCCCAGAGCGGCGGGTGGGGGCCATAAATACTAAAAAGGGGGGGGAACACCTAAGGTCCTCCCCCCTGGCCCCCACCCCTGAGCGGCGGGTGGGGGAGATAAATACTAAAAAGGGGGGGACCTAAGGTCCTCCCCCCTGGCCCCCACCCCTGAGTGGCGGGTGGGGGCCCTAAATACTTAAAAGGGGGGGGACCTAAGGTCCTCCCCCCTGGCCCCCACTCCTGAGCGGCGGGTGGGGGCCCTAAAAAAATGTGTCCCCCCCACAGGTGACTAGGGGTCCCCAAACCCCTAGTCACCCCCTCCCCCCAAAAAAAAATGTTTTAACCCCCTACCTACCCCCCTCACCCTAAAAATAATGAGGGGGGGACCTTTAACTAAGTACCTGTAAAAAAAAACAAAAAAAAAAAACAACTTACCATTCCATGTTTTCTTTCTTCTAAATCTTCTTTTTTCAGTCCCAAAAAAGGCCAAATAAAAAACCATAATAACCGACGCAATAAAAAAAAAAAAAAAAGAGCGCAAAAAAAATAATCCATGTTCACCCGGCGAGGGCTCCGCGCAGACTGAGCTCTGCAGGGCGGGGAAGGCTTATAAAGCCTTGCCCCGCCCTGCAATTAGGCTCAGAGCACTCTGATTGGTGGGTTTAAGCCATCCAATCAGAGTGCTCTGACAGGTAAATGAAGAGACTGACAGGTAAGTCTCTACATTTACCTGTCACAGCACTCTGATTGGTTGGTTTGAAATCCACCAATCAGAGTGCTCTGTGTCATTTTACACAGCGTGGGAAAGTTCTTTGGAATTTTCCCACGCTGTGTAATTTGACTCATAAAAACACTCTGATTGGTGGATTGAAAGTAACCAATCAGAGAGTTATGAGTCAAATTACACAGCGTGGGAAATTTTTTTTTTTTTTTTTTTTTTTGCGTGGGTTATTATGGTTTTTTTTTTGTTTTTTTTAATTGCGTCGGTTATTATGGTTTTTATTATTTGGCCTTTTTTGGGGCTGAAAAAAGAAGATTTAGAAGAAAGAAAACATCGAATGGTAAGTTGTTTTTTTTTCATTTTACAGGTACTTAGTTAAAGGTGCCCCCCCTTATTATTTTTAGGGTGAGGGGGGTAGGTAGGGGGATAATGTTTTTTTTTGGGGGGGGAGGGGGTGACTAGGGGTTTGGGGACCCCTAGTCACCTGGGGGTGGGGG